TCAATTATTCAGCAGTGGTCGGACAAGCGATGGTACAGGTGTTTGATATGATCGTACCCATCCATCTCTCTCTAACACAAGTCCCAGGCGAACACAGATTGTGCACACACAAAAATCTACATTGTCTTGCATCTATCGTACGATCGCAAACCGAGGCGTCGTGCACGTGTCGTATACGTGCAAAAATGATCGTACACTTATATCTCTCTCTAACACAAATCCCAGGCGAACAGAGATCGTGCACACACAAAAATATACACTGTCTTGCATTTATCGTACGATTGTGGTACGATGTCCTTACGATTACAACCTGGGTGTGTTATTAAGATAGACATTGTGCACGTGTCGTACATAAGCTGTCTTCTTAATACGGAAAAGGCTGTTGTAGATCTTTGCAAATTGTTGGCGGTTGGTTCTGCTTTTTTCAAGCAAAAAAAAACGTACGACGAGCTACCACGACACAGTCAAAGTCGTCATATACTGGTACTAGTACATTGAGGTTTTGGAATGATCACAACATGTTAGTATTCGCCACAGGAAACACTCAAGTGTTGAAACGTTATTGTTTACTAAACACTGAGCAAAAACAGTTTGTCTTTAGCTTTATCTTATTTCTCATCACTCACTTTGTACTTATGTTAAAGGTCATAGGGAAGATTACATCATAGACATCGGCTCACACTTGACACAGTAAGATCGAAAAGATAAGAATTGTTACTATAACAATTGGCTATAACAATAGAATCGCCCGTACTGTACCTTAAAACATTTGTAGACTTTCCTAGCTAGAAACTACTGTTGCTAACTGTTTTTCATATTACTCTAACTTGTAGATGAATAAATGGTGTCTTTTGAAAGGTCACTGTCTCTTGTTGTATGATGTATTGCAATAATATCATTATATTAACATCATCATATTAGTAACAGGGGAATACAATGGAACGTACAGGCTTAACTCGCAACAGCTACTGAAACGTTGTAATCAAGTATAAAATACCATTCTTTTTGTGAACCAAAAATAGGTTAGGCTAGCATGACAACAGTATTGTTGTCCAGAGGCCTAGGGGGTTATCTAGTTTAACAACAAAACGCCTTAGGTTTTCATATCCAAAACATGTCTTTAGCTACATTACTACCTCTAGAGTTTAGTTACCGATTTTCGGTATTACTAAACGTCTTTGCATGTAGGGGTAGTTTTTGTAACTTGAATAGAATAGAGAACGTTTGCCATTTTGAAATAGAATGTAGATCGTATAGCAAAGAGAGAAATGAACTTTAGAGGTTTGTACAAAACCTGTTCCATATTTCATACATTTAAGCACTGTAGAAAAAAAACCATATTCCTAATGCAACTAGACAAACCTTCCCTCGAATTACTATGTGTTATTTTATCTCTACCATAACTGAAAAGCGAAGAGAAGTTTAATGTATACGTATCTAATGATAGTTTTATTTTGTATCTGTCAACTGTATCTGTTCAGCATGTTTTGTTGTGACCTATACTTAGCCCAGTGTGGCAAAAATGTGCAAATTCATTCATTCATTCATTCATTGAAACACAATAGAAGTATGGCACTGTTTAGTATCACTGTATGCACGAATGCCAAACAAACAAGACTGTAATACATGTACCCACTACCATGCCTATTGTACGTAGCTATTTGCCGCAAAATGAGCAGCAATCGTGATGTATTTTACGACCTTCCTGTGTTGATATTTGCTGTAAAAAGTGATGAGTTGTCCCCCTGTGAAAAGTGCTCACGTCGAGTTTACGACCAAAACCATATTCCCTGGAAACTTTTTGGCGCCAAAATGACGCCGACGTAAAATTCTTCAATAAGATTTTCTTGCTTTTGGAGATAACCTGACAGAAATATGATATGATTTTTGTCATTCTTTCCCGATTAGGTATATTCACAACACTATAAAACATATTAAGAGAAACTAATTAGAAAATACCAAAAAATATCATTACGCGCTAATTATCATAAGTCTAGTACTTATTTCATAGATATAATAATCAACGCATGTACCTGATTATTAGTATGACATATACTATACTTGGATTATTATAGAATACTATAACCCTCAAGTTAACCTCCCAAAGCATTGAAGAAACTGCTTTCAAAAAAGTCAACAAAAAAGGTTAGATTCCGTATTCTTGTATTCCGTAGCAGTTCACTGGTTCCACTTTTCACCATTGTTGACTTGCACTGACTACCTTCTATACATTGTTTCATGTTACAAATAGCCCACGGGCATGAACTTAAAAATAAAATAAAATCGAAATTATAATGTGACAGCGCTTTGTGTGGGAGTTCACAAGAGTACATTTTGACTGTGCTGCACACAAGCGACTAAAACATGTCTTGTTTATTTGGTACGACAAAACTACGACAATTTACAACTGGTCCCCACGCGAGTTTATGTCCGTAAATAACGCGTGACTGTTAATTGATTAATTCGTATGACCGGATTGTTTTATGGACATAGACCAATCCAGCTCAGTTCATAAATTATCGTTGTTTATAGAAAAACAAGAAGCAAAATGTCTACACCTTCCTTATACCCAATAGCACACCTATTTACAATGATGTCCCAATTATAACATTAAGGATAAGGCAACTGATACATTCCTCTATTAAAAGCCATTTCTCAACCGTAAAGACATATGAAATTTGCGTATTAACTTTGTCATTATGATAGAAGGAACGTATCCGTTAATGTATAAGAAGGATTTTGGATTCAATATCATAAAAGTTATGTGACTTGCTAGCTAATATATCAATGTCAATAACATTATAGTGTACTGATTCTTTTGCTTCAAACAGTTTATGTTGTGACATAGTTTACGTTACCATGTTTATTGTCACATTAATGAACAGACTATGCGCTGGTAGTTTATTTAACACAGCAAGACTTTCCGGACATAGTTTACATTATCTTTGGTGTGGAAAGTTTATATTAACTTCTTGTCATTGGATTCTAGAGCCTGCAAATTTGACTTGCTGAGAAACATACCCCTATGTTGACTAGATATATTTTCGGGTAAAGAATGTAGTTTCTTTGCCATACATTGTTTGGTATTCCAATGTGTTGTATCTACCAACCCGTAGGCTTTTGTGTTTTCCATACGTTCTTTGTTATATTATATTGTACACGTGGACGTTAAAGTCTAAAATTGCTTGTCTTCTTCTTTCGTCATCTTCCTTTCAGTCTCCTACTACAGTTAGTTTCGTGTGGCTTTATTTGTATAGATGATACTGATTTTGAAAAGAGAGTTATGGCTCTGTACTTTGTTGTTCCCCCAAACGATTTTCATAATCTTTCAACTTGAGCGCTAATTTCTTTTCTGTTTACCATGCATCCAAAATGAAAACCTACAACTGCTCTGTTCTATGATTTCAACACAAAACTCCAAAGTTTGTCTGACTATATATGCGTAAAGAAGAACGTATAGGCAGATCATTGCAAAAAGTGACTCACTCTACGATCCGAACATAGTTTCATCAGGTTGGTAGAGCATAGGATATACATATAGGGATTTCCTTTTACCAGACGCCTTTAAAAACCTATCCGTTATGTGGTTTAAAATCAATACATCTTACGTTAATCATCTTGTCATTCATAACTTCAGAAGAGCCGTTTTTTACTCAGGAAATTTGGGGTTAGCTTTAAAAGGAAATATACCGGTGTATCTTTAATAGATACGGTTGAGTCACTGTTATTATGTAGCGGTAGCTTCTTTCAGGTGCCTTGTTCTGTTAGGCATTGTCAGCTCGGTGAATATAGATAATACAAAGGGGACATAGAAGGACAGATCAGATGGAAGGTATACTCTTCAAAGTGTTTAATGACGAAGTAAATTTGTACAGATACAACGTACAGTGCTACCGAAGGCACCAAATATACAGACATTTACATAATCGGAGGATATACAGTATATACCCTCCGCAACAACTTTTTATACTTATATCATATCATAACATTACAGCTGGAAGAATTACGATTTTGTGCGGCATTGCATGTGTGACAACAGAACTCATGAATATTAATAAAAAATCTCAACAAAGGAAACTAAATAAGTTCCCATTGCTTGACATGATAATACAAATGGCCACTTTCTCAACTAACCAGCAACTTTGTATAATCTCACTTTTTCTTTTCATAATTGAACAGTCACGTTTCTACTGGATTTTTCTTGTCTTTGTTTCCAGAAATTACGCTATCACATTTAACATTTTCAATTTCATATTTCATACATGTTTCCCTAGACATTGTTACGTTGCAACAATAACAACTTGTCCTATCATTTTAACATCTTCCCGACTAAAGTTAGCACTGTATCCGGCCACGTGCATTCTCTACTCTTCCATTTTTGAACAGTGCAATTTTTCATGTCCCTCCACCGAGTTTTTTGCGCGTATTTAATTAGAATAGAGGACAGACCGGGGAATACGTCCCCTAACAAAATCTCATCCCACGGGAGCAGGAATCGTATTAATGTGTCATTTTCCTAGCGACCTCGAGGTATCATATGCCGTGGCAGAAAATATAGTCTGACTGAAATTGGGCGAGCATAACAGGAAAGCGTCTCTCAATTCATATCTATGCCGGCATCGCATGGTAGGACAATTCATCAAGCCTGGGCTGTGATTAGATCGGAGCCGTCCCAGGCGAGTTTGGGGTGCCCGGTGTAGGAGGGAGTGTGGGACTCGTGATAAAGTCGTCTGCACACATTATATACACCGTTCTATACCGTCCGCACAAACCTACAGATTGTATCACATACACACGGCTGTTAGCCGCCAAATGTTCGCAGCTCTAGGTTATAAATGACTGCATTTCCAATAGACGACAATCTAGGAGATGGTTTAATAGAACACGTTGCCAGTGTAATAAATATACAAATGCCATGCTTGGTAGCTAGAAATAGAAATGTTTCAACATAGTATAGCAGTTGCCTTTTACGTTTTTAGTATAAAACGAATTGATATCTTTAGAACAAAGTGAATTTGTGTGTGTATCGTTTTGTCGTTGAATACTTACATGCTTTAAAATGACACTGTTGCGAAACTCAGCATCCACCAAGTGTTCATGGCTAGATGTTTGAAAAAGATATGATGACAATGAAATTGTCACTCTGTTTTGTAACTTAGAAACTCTTCTTAGATATAAATGATGCGAAAGATGAGCTAGCAATATTTTAGAGTCCCTCAACTTTCTCTCTCTCTCTGTCTTTCAATGGTATTTTCAACGTCTTTCCAATGAGGAAAGTACAGTCACAATTTTCCAACATTCTATCTCACTACTGTTTCAAACATCCACAGAATCACTCCTTCAAACCATGAATTTTCACGCAGTTGAACGAGCAACGCGAACGAAATCTGAAGCCTTGCGTCTGTTTCAAAAACGGTGTAGGCAATGTGTTCACTGTTCCATCCCAGTTCTGATATTGATCCAACAACTGATTTACAGTTCCAGTGAGTAAACTGGGAGAGACTTGATGTATATGCGTACCATAGCGATGCCTTGTTGTTTTTCTTTTGTTACATACACAGATATCGCTCGAGCCGGCTGTGCGAAAAGCGACGACATCTAATATAGGCTGAGAGACATCTACCTACGAGGTATATACTGGTTGAAGTATGGACATATGAGAAGTTACCACAGCGAAACAATGTAAGTGAATTTCCATTTACATCTCCCAGAGGATATTATATCCGAAGGGAGAGGGTTTGATATTGTTTGTTGTTAGTTTTAAGTAGAAAGAGTCTTTTTTCCTAGTCCAGAATGCGCGATGTATTTTCGCAGTTGGCTTTGGTATAATAACACTCACAACTTAACGTGAGTTTGATGTCAAAAAAATTATACTTTCTGCAAGGTCTATACATTTCTTCTATGGCTTTTTTTTCTCAAAGAAGAACACGTCACATTTTGACAAGTACGTTTTGACCGTTATGTTACGCGAGAACTTTCGCAACAGCTGGTAAAACACTGATGTTTTCTACACTAGAAAATGTCTCGTGTAAACTTTTCTCAACTTTGGAGAGTTCAGTGGCTGGTATCCACATCTATCTATGTTGGAAAGGACTATTCAATACTTACAATCGCTAGTTTTGTAACATCTTTTTTTTTTTTGCTCGGTCCAAATGTCTAAAGACTGTCGATGCGACGGGACATTTTTATAAAACATTTTCGGCGCTCGGACTCGGAAAGCCCAAACTCTAGCCGCTATGAGACAAGTTCTAGCTCTGACTTTTTGAATGCTAATTGGAATCCTTCTGACCTTCTTGGCCACCGGAATGGGGCGAGGTGACGGTCGGTTGGGAAGCGCTTATGTTGCCGAGGGCGGCCTGGTTGTTTCCCGATGTGTCGCAGCTGTTCTCGTCGGTGTCGGAGCAGTCGCTGCCCTTCTTGCCGTCGGTGTGCGTCTTGGTGTGTTTCGCCAGGTGGTCGGAGCGCATGAACCTCTTGTTACACACGGGACAGGCGAAGCGCTTCTCCCCGGTGTGGGTACGGAGGTGCCGCTGGAGCTCGTCAGAACGGGTGAAGCGCTTCCCGCAGAACAACCAGTTGCAGACGAACGGTCTCTCCCCGGTGTGCCAGCGGAGGTGAGCCTTGAGGTGCGACGTCTTGCCGTACACCTTCCCGCAGCCGGGGATGTGGCAGCTATGCTGGTTCTTGCGGCGGATGGCGGCTCCGGCGGGACCTAGCCGCTCCGCCTCTTGGCAGTTGGGGCAGTCGCATGTGGCCCGCCCGGTGTACCGTCGGGAGTTCCGCACGCCCGCGGTGGCCCCGAAGGCCGGTGTGGAGAGTAGGGGGGCGGACAGCTGCGATCCGCTCATGTCCGTTGAGGGCAACATCGACTTAAAACTGTCCTGCGCGAGTAGAGACTGCCCTGTCGGTAGAAGGTGCGTCGGCGTGGAGTTGAGCGGATGGCTGAGTGCTGAATAGTCCGTGCCGTAGTTCCCGAGCTGCGAGTGCAGCCCGCTAGAGTTCTGTACGTCCAGCCAGTTGGAGTTGGCCGTGTGCATGTCCCACCAAGCCGACGCGCTGTTCGTTACGTCGTTGGACAGACTCGGGTGCCCGTTGGTCTTGAACCAGGACTCGTACGGGTGCGCGACGCCGACCCGGGGGTACATACTCGCCTGCATCTGCAGACTATCCACCCCAGGACCGTGGACCTTCTGTATGATGGCCGGCTGGCCGCTGTCGTTGTGTGCCGACGTGCTGACCGAAGTGCTCTGCAAGAACAGGTCGCTGCCGTAGGAAGTCATGCTGTTGGAAGTCGTGCTGGCGAGCGGGTAGCCACCGCTACCAGACATGGTCGACATGGAGGGAAGAGAGTCCTGGAGAGACATGTGCATGGGTCGGGAGGAGACGGCTCCGTTTCCGTGACTGGCCGCGGACACGTGGTGGCTGTTCGCGCCGGGGAGAGACTTCTTCCACGGGTAGAACCCTTTCCCGATAGCGGCGTCGGCGAGGGGCGGTGGACTCTTGTTTCCGATCTTGTCACAGGTGGCAGCGAGCATAGCTAGGGGAGTGGCGCCTAAACGTGGGTGCTCCTGGAAAAACGGGAGGGAAAAAACACACCGGAGGTTCACATCTGTTTCGCTCTCAGGACCTCTGTACCTCATTTCTCTCGGACTTCAACAGTAAAAAAACCTTCATTATATGACATGTAGTTCTCAGCATAATACCTGAACAGGACATTATACGCCTCAGTATTCTAATTTACAGCCCTTCTTGCCAGCCAACTTTGCATGCTATGTTGTACATAGCGAGATATGGTATATTTGTATCGTAACATGCGATTGTATCACATACCACGATCTTTAAACGTAGCTACTGATTTTATATTTCAGTATACAGCAGTTTTCTGCTTTTAAACGTCCTCAGACTTTCCAAATGACGGTTTTTAGTCTCAAACTGTGACTACCAGGCGTGATGGTAATGATATCAACAGCCTCCGCAACAGGAGCGGTCTAACATTTCCATAACATACATGTACAGCGGGGAATCGTCTATGGGAAAAAGAACGAATGGCCATAAACAATTATCAAATCGATAGACCAAAAGCCAGAATTGGGCCCCGAAGACTGAGGATATATGCGAGACAAATGAAAATTTATGAGAAAATCATTGTATCTTAATCCTCTATGGATATATCACTAGCCTGATGTAGACATCTCTGTCAGAGGCATGTAGAATTGTTCAAACGGAGTGTTTACATTTACAAATATCAAATAACGTTAGACACAAAATATACGAAATATCATAGTAAACAACAGTTTGACTCCTACATACTAAAACATACTTAATATCTATGTAATTCTGGACACAGAAATATGGTTTGGGAAAACATTCTGTGAGATAGTAGAGCATAATTTCGTCGATACATGTAAGTTGTAAAAGTGCAACATACTACTACGTTTGTCACTCACGATACTTTTCAACACTGTTGAAATCGAATTAGTAAATGTCAAAGTTGAAGGATATAGGAGGTAAACAAACTATGCGGCAATATGAAATGGCAAACCGCGATCTTACTTTGGTTTCGTCAGAATTTCCTCACAGAGAGAGAGCGACAGACGACAGTCATAGCTGACATACCCTGGCTGCGTTTGGCGCGCAAACCTATGTCAGAAATCCGCCAAAAACTCTCACAGAAACCGCATCAAATCTTCCCCAGACTGCAAGAATATAACCTCGTACAAATCCGAACAGGACGCGGGTTTATAGATCGGTAGGATCTCTGGAAGTTTCTGCCACGTTTTTACCGCTCTTTTTTTCAGCGTGGAGAAGTGACAATCTGCTCGCAGCGCCCCTGCCCCTATATAATCAATTCGAGCGTTCAAAGAGACCCAGCGGGGCGACGAATATCAAACTCCCGCCGCTCCGTTCACGCTGACTTCGGTATGAATATTCTGTCATGCAGCCGAATCAACTGCTAAATCAGGGCAATTTACTCTTTGTTATTCATTTCTTCTACAGCTAACCGTCGAATATTTCCCCCTCACTCCGTCCACTGTGGACAGTTTTCATCAGTGGACAAGTCAGCAAACAACCGGCCGTTGAAAAGGCGAACTGTTTGGTCTCGAAATAAAATGTTTGCCCAAGTGGCAGGTATTAGCACCCCGGACAAGCCCCTGTAAATTCGAGTGTACACAAAGTCGCGTGCGTAACTGGATTTTCCAGATCCTCACAAACTGACACTTTGTTTCCGTCCCTGCCTTTTTTCTAGCCTAACCTTCGCCCAAATTTTACCCCTTCTCCGCGGCTTTTGAGATATAAACTTGAACAAGCTCCTGACAGAGACAGTCGAGATTTACAAGAAACGAAAACTCCCGCGATAGAGCGTTCTCGTGCCGGGTTACACCGGGGAGGGAGTGGAGCATACACGGGGGACAAGGTTACCGGGTCCCGCCTGCGGATCTAGAACTGATCGGTCCCATACCATACCTTCTCGACTTAGTTTGCTGGGCGGCAGCGGGTGGACTTCGGGCCGTAGGACAGAGTGAAGGAAAGTGGACTCACCCCGAGAAGTGAGGTTGCCATCCCACAACAGCAGGCCTTGATTCCGCAATTTGAAGCTCTTTGAGCGGCGTTTTCGTCCCTACCAAAGGGAAGGTGTACAATACAAATGGTCGGTTCCGCCCATTTGACCATATAATTGTGGTGTGGCTTCCCTTTGAAGGCCCGCTCAGGCCCCTCTCGACCAATCAGCGAGCTCCGTTGGAGCCTTGATTGATTATTCTAGTGACAAGTAGGGCTGAATTGTTGACATACACGGCGATTTACTCGCACCTCTACAAACAAGCAGGCACCAACGTCAGCCCCAGACTCACAATAATGAGATTTCATTACCCAAAATTGCTCCTAATCCACCGCGATCGCGCAATTTTCCTCACGGCAGCCCTCCGTAACTTGGCCGGCATCCCCCGACAAAAGCCCGGCTTATGACGATGCTAAATTTGACATTTTCAGGGCCATTTGTTCTGCCATACTTCTGGAGGCGATACCATTTCTAGAACGAGCAACCCAGGCTTCTCCAGGTGCAAGCGGGGATCAGTGAGATCAAAGAAAAAAAAAAGAAAAGCATCTCTGAGATTCTGAGAAAAATGCGGTGTCGCGACCCTCCCATCCGCCGGCGCACCTGTACCTGGCTCTTCGGGAGGATGTCACACCCTCGCCGAGGAATTTCCACCGGGCGTACCCTTACACTTTAGGGGCATGTTTCACGACTTACCAGCTCCTAATATCCCATAGAGCACCATGCGGCTTAGGACACCATGAGTTTCGAGTCGGTGAGCCTAATCCTCTGCGGGTCGCCTGGATAACATGCGGCGATAACTACCGGCCATTCGGCTGAAATATTGGCAGACCCTGGGGCGATATTTTATTTTTCTGGGCAATCGCGGCCCATTTGTGGGGAATAAGCAGACCCGATAGCTCCTTTATCAGATCCGAATTGAGCCTAACTGGGGACTCATACATCTCTGTTTCGGGCCACAATGCCCTTCTCCGGGTCGCGATCCTTTCACGAGCTCAGCGGGAGCGAACATCAAAAGCGGCCGGAGAACGGTTTTCAGGCGGCCGGGGCTGTCGCCTCGCTGTAGGCGCCTACTTTTGTGGCATGGAAAGGGCGGCCGGGGGCGGCTAGGAGGACGGACGGGGTTGGACTGGGGCGGGCAGGGGAGGGACACAGTGTGGCGAGCACCCCGGGAGCCCGTCTACCTCGGAGTACAGAAAAACGACGAGGGGCGGGTATGTAGGTTTTCTGCCGCCGTGCCATGTGCGTAGCTCCAACTGTCTCTGGGACCAGTCAGGCTCACACTGTATATCTTTGATGACAGATTAATTAAAATCGCGGGTCCCTTGGAAAGAGGTCGCTTTGGGGAATTAAGAAATTCTATTCAACACCAAAAGCGCATACGCTGTAACAGACATGACTACAATCTCTCAGACTCTCCGTATCTCTCTTTTCTAGTAAACAGGTGGCCACTGATGCGGCGCGGATATTTTGTAGGCTCACAGTTGCGCTTGTTTTGTGAGCTCGCACAGGACAATTTTGTCGGGGACAATGCCGTTCTGTTAATCTCTTCAGTGTGACTCAGACTTCAGTAACCGTGCCGACTAGGCACCCATCGTGCCGTAAGTAATGTCACAATGGTCCTCCCGACTAGGGGTCGGCTACGGAGCCGACAAACGCACTAACTACGTCTAATAGCCCGCCACAATTTTGCACCCGGTGTCACGGATTGCCTGCACTATTCGCCTCCTCTTTACCTTTAATCGCCATAGCAGTTTAACCAGCTAATGAGCGGTATTTGTGCCTTTGTTTGGTATTTCAAAGAGGCCGTGCTTCGGCATTATAACCGGCCTTACATTTACCTGATTTCTATAGGAAAACACAATGACTTGGGAGGAAAACAGAGTCATTTGGAGTATCCATTAAGATAAGCTCAGGTGCACGTATTGTTCTACTTGTTGTAGTTGCCCTCAAGCGCTTCCAAATTGCATGATCGGCGACTATAACCCCAATATCTGTATCCTCTTATCTTTTAACCGATCTCAGGATAGATAGCAACACGGGATCATCATCTTTCCCCTTACCCTTACCACACTTCTTAACCTTTCGCCAAACCTCATCAGTTCGTCACCCCTACAAACAATACAATATCTCTAAGATAACAACAACAGCACACCTGTGAGAGTAACCTTAAATATCGCACCACTTCCGGTAGCGTGGCATAGGTGTGTGCAGGTATGCCCTTAATTATACCTTGACATTGGACGAAGGATGTACATGAGTAATGATGATGGCAACTTCCATCTGGAAGCGATGGATGTGAGGGTTGTCTCTGCTCTAGATCTGATATTCCCTTGAGCTACATAAAGGACTCCGGGATGTCGGTTATCCGGTCTAATCCGCAGGCCTTCTTTACCGCGTGTTCCTCCTAATCCCCCATCATCTCGGCATTCCTAAATTCAGCCCGGGAGGTGGATTATCATACAGATGATTCTGTGGCTGGCGGATTGGGGAAACTACCTCGTCATCTGTCACTTTCTCACAGTAGTACGTCCAGACGGGATTGTAAAATCGTTCAGAGGACCGCAAAAACATAACACCACAATCTACGATATTCTTCTGTTTCTGTATTCTCTTCAAGCAGAGTTTTAGTCTTAGGCTTATGTTTGACGTGTTTTACACGTGTTTTTGTCAGCTTTGCTTTTTGTACTAGTATCTTTTCTTCGCGAATGGTACAAATGATAACTGTCTGGCAAATGGATACTGCCTTTTCAGGCACTAAAATATCTGCTTGGAGATTATCTTTTGTATACACAATACTTTCTATTTAATATTCTGTAGTAGAAAAAATACGTTTAAGAAGAAGAGTAGTTTGTTATTCATAAAGACATTCGCTTTAAAAATTGTGAAAAATATATGAAATCTAATTTCTGAAATCTAATTTCTGTGGCTTTTTGCGGCTTTGGTTATTACGGTATGAACTGCTGTGGTATGTATATCATATTGTTACTTTTTTCCGGTGGTAAGCGGGGACAAAAACACCACCAGAGCGTGAGCATACAGACGACAAGTCGTGACAACAGCCACCCGTAAAGGCATCTTTGCTCAACACATTTCGTCCACTTCAAAGCGACGTCGTCCCTTTCAGACGACTGGATGGCCCAGACGAGTGCTCTGCAGTGGTCTTTTCGACCAGGTTCCGTTTCCATGACAACCCAACAATACCCTACATACCGCCGTTCTTCTGTACCGACTGTAGAAATGCAAAACGCCGCCGTGCCCATTCTCTCTCACCGCCGGGTGCTGACGGTGTATTATCCCGTTTTTCTAGCATGATAATATAATTTGTTGAAGATTGTGCGCGCTGCCCAGCGGGGGGTTACAAAAGGGGTTGAGAGGAGGCGTGGCCATCTAATTGTCCCAGTACTTCAAAGGCTTATTGCTTTAATTACCCTCCCCCCTCTCTCCCCTATTGAGTCCTTGTAGTGTAAAGTATGGCAAAGCTGGAGCTGTCAGGAGTATAAGTAGAGGGGTAAGGATCATAGGTTATGAACCCACGTTTGCTGGCTCATTGAAAACGGTTGAACCGCTGTATAAAGAACTTTTTGCTGTGTAAAGGTTTCGTACTAGAGGGATATTGTCTGTATTTTACGGTTACAAACACACGCATACTTAAAACTTGTCTGAAATCTTCGTCAAGTATAATTATAGAGAATCGAAGTTTTGATAATATACACACTTGAGTGTAGTGAAATACTTCTTTTGAATTTTTATTAAATATCATATTACTTCTGGCGAGAAAAACATAGAACTGTAAATCATTTGAGGTTAGAATAACTAAAACATTATTTTTGTATTGAATCACTCAATAGTTCTCTATCATCAGTCTATGCTATGTTTTTATTGACGTTTTGAATTAATCGGTTGTTTACAACTACACAATCCCATTTTTGCCGTCTTGTCTCTTCGAATCAAACAAGTGAAGAGAAAAAATGGCTGGCGGCTTTTTTTTCTGCCGAAGTAGTCTCAAACCCCAGGCTTGTTAAGCTGGCATAAGCTCTATTTCTTGTCAGTGTTATCTGATAGGGAATTACAAAGCAGAGCTAAGTTAGAAAGACTGTGATTTAGTCTATTTTTAATGTTATTGTAGTTCTAAAACATAAACATTAGTGACCCTAACGCTAGCAAAGGTCACTGAACTGTGGTTGTCCTGTTTTATGTCAGAACAGCACGTTAGTAGCACAACAAAAGAATTATCCAGTCAGTTGCATTGTTTTC